AAAAGAAAAAAAAAAAAAAAAAAAAAAAAAAAAAAAGAACAAAGCTGTTATCAACATTCAAGTACAAGCTTCACTGTGGGACGTGATGTTTTCATTTCTCTTGGAGACAAAGAATATTTTCCTGATTACTCCTGGGGTTCAGGCCTTTTCATTTCATATATTACTGGCCATTTGCATATCTTCTTTTAGAAGTGCTATTCAAAATCTCTTGCCATTTTTCTTCTATTGTGTCTCTTTTTCTTAAAATTTGCAGGATTTATTTATTCTGGATATAGGTTTTTTCATTGGATTTACAAAGGGGAATCAAAATATATAATGAATATTTAAATGTAATGAATATTTAAATTTATAAAATTCTTATTATAGTGAAAGACACAATGGCATTAATTTCCCTCAGAATACTCCTGCTCACTTCAAACACCCTCATTCCATCTTTCTTGGCAGTTTCTGAAGCAGTTCTGGAAATCCACTTTCATGGATGTCTTTTGGATATGGTGAATACTGCTTCCAAGCTCCATCCAGTGGAAAGGCAGCCTTGTGAAAACACGGTGTGTCCTCATCCACCGTACTCACTGCATCTGTCTCTATCCAGCTTCTGACTCTGACTCTCCCCCAAAGTCAAGATGCCCATGGAAGGTAAACGTCATGCCTCAGTTCTGGACATGGAGGTAGCCACGATGGGGCGACCACAGATACTCCCTGAGAGCACTCCCAGAACGGCTCCAGAAAGTGGTAAGATGATGGGATGTGTGTTTGAAGCAAGGGGGGATATTCTGAGGGGGATTAACTGCAATGTGTCTTTTACTGTAGTAAAAGAGAAACAATAACTAAACATTCACTGTATTTTTGATTATATGGTGCTATATACAGTACTACAAATCGCTCCCTTTCTCTCTCTTTGCATTCCTGGCGATTGAACTCAGGATCTTCACACTGAGTTACATCTATAGCCTTTCAAAAATCTGAGGCATGGTTTTCCTAAGTCACTCAGTCGCCTAGGCTAGGTGTGAATGCGTGGTCCTTTGGGCTCAGTCTCCCAGAGATCTGGGACTACAGACATGTGTTCCTGGGCCTTGCTACAAACATATCCTTTTAGCCTGCTCACCTTCTTCATGGTGTTCTTTAATATAGCAAAGTTAAGTTTTTGATGTAGCCCAATTTTTCATTCTTACCCTCTATGGTTAGTGTATCTCATTTTGTATAAAAGGTCATTCTCTATTCCACGGTCGTGAAGATATTCCCCTATATTATTTCCCAGGAGCCTCACTGTATTACTTTCATACTCAGATCTATAATCCATCTTGAATTAATTTTTGTTTGTAGTATAAACATAGGGTTATCTCTTTTTATATGAATATTCAATATCTATCAAACCATTGTCCTAGCATCACTTATGGAAAAAGACTTTATATTGTCATCTTTTTAAAATCGTAAATTCATTTATGCTGGGTCTGTTTCTACACGCTATTGTCTATTGGTCTACCTGACTATACTTGTGCTACTGTCTTAATTACTGAAGTGTTAAACTACAGCAAGAGTCCTGATATCTTATGGAGCAAATCCACTTATTCTTTCTTCATAAGTTTTTTATTTTCTTAGTTCTTCACATTTCTGTGTCAATTTTAGAAGAGATTTATTCAAATCCTTTCCCTATCCCTAGATCTATTGGGATCTTGACTAGGCCTACAATGAGTGTAACAGATCACTGGGTAGAGCTGACATTTCTGCAATATTTACTTTTAAGTCCATGAACACAGCCTATTATTCCACTTATTAAGTCTTCTTTATGTTTTTCTACATAGAAGCTTTGTGTGTATTTTGTATGATGTATTTCTAGGTATTTCATTTTATTATTCTTATTTTTTGGTACCAGGAGTCTAACTCAGGACCTTGTGCTTGCCAGGCAGGTGTTTGTGCTACTGAGCTATATCCCTGGCCCTTTGTAGGTATTTTGAGAAGTAATTTTAAGGGCTGAGGATGTAGCTCAGTGATAGAGTGCTTGCCTAGCATGTGAGAAGTCCTAGGTTTGGTCCCTAGCACTGAAAAGAAAAAAAAAAAAAAAAAAGGGAAAAACTTGGGCTATTCCAGCTGAATAGTTGTGTTTTCACACCATTTCCAGGCTGTGAAGGGAAATCTGAACATCTTGTGGACTTGCCACTCCAGGACTACATGCCATTGCTGTTGTACATTTAAATTCTTCCTGTACTCTAAGTTCTATAAAAGCTTATAACTGTTTTATTCACTTAATATTTGTTTAGATTCACTCACAGAATTGTAATTTCATTATCTTCATTCCCTCCTGCTTTTCATTTTCTATCTGTGATAATCTTCCTTCTGCCCAAAGAACACAGTTTAGTGTTTAGTACTGATGTGATGGTGATGAATTCTCTATTTTTCTGAAAATGTCTTATTCCCCCCCACCTTTTTTTTTGGTGCTAGGGATTGGACCCAGGACCTCAGGCATGGTAAGCAAACTCTTTACTAATGAGCTACATCCCCAGGCCTCTGTTTCACCTTTATTTTCAAAGGATACTTTTTTGCTACGTATACAGCTCTAGGCTGACAGCTGTTTTCTTTTCACACCATGAACATACCCCTCCCTCCACTGTCTTCTGGCTTTCAATCCTGCTGCGGAAAAGTCAACCCTCAGCCCTACGAAACAGACTTTTCTTTCTCCTTTGGCTATGAGTTTTGAAATTTTGCTACTGATGTATCTAGATGTGGATTCTTTTCTTTATATTGGTTGGTATTTGGTGGGATTCTTGAATCTGTAAATTGATGTCTTTCATCATTTTGGAAAATTCTGAGCCATCACTTTTTTTTTTTTTTTTGAGACAGGGTTTCGCTATGTAGTGCAGGCTGGCCTCAAACTCATGGTAATCCTCCTGCCTCAGCCTCCTGAGTGCTGGGATTGCAAGCATGTAGCACCACGCCTGGCTCAGCTATCATCTCTTAAAATAGTTTCTTCTCTTTTCTGTTCATCTTCTAAGATGCCAGTAAGAGTAAATACGTATCATGCCTTATTGTACCATCTGTGTCTCTCACCCTTCCTGTATTTTACACTTTTTTATCTTTCTCTATGTCACTCTGAATAGTTTCTTTTGACTTCTTTTAGTTCACTATTTATTTTTTGCAGTGCTGGGCCTTGCACATGCTAGGGACGCACTATACCATGTAGCTACAGCTCTAGCCCCATGGTTTCTGCCTTGAGTTATGTGTAATCTGTGAAGCCCATGTTCTAGATATCATTTCTAGAATTTTCATTTGGTTCTTTAAAAAAAAATCAAGTTATCTGCCAATATTTTATTTCCCTGAATATAATAAATATAATTAGAGGCTATATATAATAATGCCAATACCTGATCTGTTTCTGCTTCTAATATTTACAATTTCTGTAGAAATTTCCTCGTATGCCCACTAATTTTTTATTGAATGACTAAGTTTGTATTGGTGGAATTATCACTGAGACAATTTAAGGTTTAGGATAATGTTATTTCCTCCCAGGGATGATACATGTTTGCTTCTGCCTAGAACCTGCGAGCACCAGAACTCTGCGACTGCCAGTCTTCCACTGCCTCAATCCAACTTCCTGTATTGAAATTGATGCAAGGTGGGGTACAGTCTCTGAGAGCCTACAGCAGACTCATCCTTATTCTCCCACCGTGGCCGCTGGAGGTTCCAAACACAGCAAGAGTGTATCACCTGCTTTGGTGGTCCCTGGGTCCCAATCTCTACAGCTTTGGCCCCCCAAGTCATCAAGTATGGCTCAGATGCTTGGCCTCTCAGTCCTACTCTTCTTCATCAGGATAAATGTACAGACAGAAAAGCACACCTATATACCAGCCTCACCTTCTTGGCATTCCTGTCCCACTGAGCCTTGCCTGGTCATTTTCGTTACTTTGTTAGCTCTCTGGTATCTTCAGACAAGTGTGTATTGTATTTTATCTAACAACTCTAACATGTGCTAAGGAGAATGACCTGATTATCTGAGTATGCCATAACTAGAAGCAGAAGTAAATACTTAATTATTGATGACAGATATTGGATGAGTGGTAGATAAAGGAGCTTTGGAACCCATTAGAAATGGATAAAATTGAGGTCTGAGGCAGTAACATGGACTGAGGGAGTAACATGGATGAAGAACTTGATTAAGCCTCCTATGGTCATGTAAATTGCTGTTACTAGGTCATGTATTTACCTCTCTCTGGGATGTAAATGTGAATGACATTTATTCAGATCTAGTCTATGCTGTGTCTTTTGGGCACCAAGCATTAACTGAGCAACTAAGTTTGAATGTATTCTAGAAATTTCATGATTGCATAATTAGTGAGAAGAAGCACAGCTTAGCTATGAGAGCTAGAGGCTGAAAACACAGAGAACACGAGAAATAAACCAGGACAGGGACTACAGGGAGGGAAGGGGATTATAAACAGATGGAAGGGCTGACCCTTACCAGGAATAGGCCACTTCTTCTAGCTTGAAGAAGACAGTATGAAACTAGGTACAGACACAGTTACACTTACAAGGCTTAGAAATTAGAAATCGTATTGTCTCTTCAATTTTCTAGAAGTAGGAGGCAAGGTTAAGGGTGGGCTGGGGACCTGACGTGAATTCTTAGAATAAATACTGGGGCGGTACGAGAGAAGAAAATATAATTAGAAACACAAGCAGTGGCCCGTTGCACACTACTACACGGTTTTTTCTCTAGCAATGTTTGGTAGCCTCAATATGGGGTGAAGGGATTGATTCACTCTAAATGAGAGCTCTGCTGAGTACTCACGGTAAGGACAAAGGCACAGGGATTGCAGGATACTAAGAAGACAACGGCAATGGTTTAAATGAGATAAAAAAGAAAACAACACAGAAAATATGTGATGATGAAAAGTTAAGAGAAAGATGTCCATAGCTTAAAGGTCCATTTGAGATCAAATGAGACAGTGAGTGAATAAAAAGGGCAGAAATGAAAGAAATTATGATCAGAAATTAGCATACTGATTTATATTATAAGGGAGAGAGTTCTAAGGGGTTCTGAATGGCCCCTGAGGTTGTTTGCTAGAGCAGAATATAAATGATGGATGTTAAAATGAAAAAAAAAAAAGACCAAACAAATGAAAGTACTACAGGTTAGTTTGCTACTTCTCAATCTTGTTTTTAATTACTGCTCCTTGAAAGTCTTCTCTAGACATTTCTTTACCTGATTGTCCGCCTTCCCAAAGAAGGTCCAGTACGACAGCCACGCTGCGTATCTATTTATATACTGTAATGCCTGTGATGCTTTCACTCCCCAAACCCAATCTCCACCCCTTTCAGCATCTCCTCTCTTGAAAAGGTGTGGGCTGGCTATAGGATGGGTGGTCCACTCTGCATTCTGAAGTACCCGGACTGTCAATTTTCACTGCTAGGCTCTTCCTCTGTATCATAGAAATAGGTACCAGGTCTCACCAGAATATTGGTAAAATTCAATATTCCGCTGGATTTTACTATTTTAAAGAACTGGTCATCTTATAAAGATTCTATGGGGATATATTTATACTGCTAACAAATGCTACAGCTCAGTGTAAAAGTTTAGAAAAGGTTAAATGCTACTGAATAGGTATTTTGCTTCATGGCATTAGTTATGGATATTAGTTAGGTAAGGGATATTTAACATAAAAAAAAAAAAAAAACTACCTTCTATTTGGTGAGTGCCTTCCTTTTCTAAGTGAATAGTGCCAAAATATTTACTGCTGCTGTTTTGCAACTTGGCACTTGAGGGCAGCAGCAATGTTTTGGGAATTACAGAAGTGGAGCATTGAACTCATTAAGACAGACAAAGTATTAAAGACCCTACCACATGATAATGAGAAAAAAAGGGATGACACTGTTCACAGAGTACCTGCATTATCATACAGTTGAGGGAAACATTCATAAGACAGAACTATTGGTTAGCTGTAATTATTCTCCAATGTGTTTCTATTTCTATTCTAGATCCAGACTATTTCCGGTTTTTATGAGTAACTACTCATACATGAAGTCAACAGAAGAGCAGATTACTTTTCCTTCCTGAGCCTCACTTCCTCAGCTATAAAATGGGAGCATATATGTACAAGGCTGAGATTAAATATGGTCTCAAGAAAAGGTAACTAATAGTAATGACCAAGCAAAAGGCACGGGCACTTCACAGAAGTGTGAAGAACGCTTCATCATTTCAGTGTGAATGGATGGTGTGAAGAAAGGGATAGAGTGCCAGGAAGCTCAAGATATCTTAGAGGAATAGCTAACGTAATTTGGCTTGTTCAGAAGAAGCAGTGCGCACACAGTGGAGTTGAGAGACATTTGAAAAGGACAGACAGGAGCCAGTTATGAATACCCAGGGAGAGGAGAGAGATGGAGTCGTGATTAGATACAAATGATATGGCCGCTCAGTTCTGCGCACAGTAACTAGTGCAAGCCAGACAATGCAGCCAACTCGGGGACAGGAAGCGCAGGCTTTCTTTCCTACTAGACAAGTCTGGGAGGCCCAGGGGTTAAATGACCTTCTTGTTCTTTCATTTTCCTACATATAAATAGGCCCATGACTACTGAATGAACAATAGAAAGAAAATACCAATGTTTAATAGCAGCCATATAAAAAATGTGAGAAGCAACTCTCAGCTTTCTTTTGATACACAAGAAAACAGAAAAAGTCTCTCGTGTCTCAGGTACTTCAAATGTCTGTTATTCAAGGGAAAGTTTGCCAGGTTGGATCGGTGATGGTATCAAGGATGTAATAATACACGATGATGGGGTTGGTGCTGTGGCTCAGGAGCAGAGTGCTTGCTTAGCATGCGGAGGCTCTGCATTCAATTGCCAGTACCACATTTTAAAAAGTGATGATAAATCCCTCACACTTCCCAAACTATCCCAAGATATTTAAACCAGCATTGGAAAAAAATTAGTTCTAGATAATAAATAAGCCCTGGTTGATAAAGAACAGACCAGGCACATTTGCATAACCAGTGGTAGGCTGTTGCCCTCTTTTTTTAAAAAAAAATTGTTATAACAAATACAAAAAATGAAGTTTTATTACTCATATATATTACTTATATTATAAGTTGCACATATGGCACAAGACAATTCCTCTTTATACAATGTGGCCCAAGGAAGCCAAAAGGTTGGACATGCCTGCAGTGATTAGGTATTTAATACACCTAATCATGAAGTAAAACATTACCACTTATTCTTTCACATACACAGAAGTAGTTTAGAGTGTATTTGATTAATTATTACCAATTCTCCATCCCAAAAGCTCAACAGAAAGTATGTGACATTCCCTATCCAACTGTTAAATTAATTACATAACACATTAAAAAAAAACACCTATGTGGGCGAACAAGTTGGCCACTGCAGAAGTCCTTTGCTCTCTCATTCTATTCTTATCATAGTCTATTTTTTCTAATATAGTGGTTTGTATGCTCTCTCTCTTTTTTTTTTTTTTGGTCTTGGTTTTTTTCCCGGTAACGGGGATCGAACTCACGACCTTGTGTTTGCCAGGCAGGCGCTGTGCTGCTGAGCTAAATCCCCAGCCCCTGTATGCTCTCTTAATAGTCTCTGAGCTTCAGAAAAGCAGAAGCCATGGCTTACACCTGCCTATCTTTATCACCTACAAAATGCCTGATACATAACCGACACCCGTGTTTGTGTGTGCGCATGCACATAAAGGAAAATGAGTACTTAGAGAGCCAGACTTAGAAAGCAAGAGAGAAAGAAGACCTCCTTTGACAACAGAAACTTCATTACTACATCAGAAACTGTTATTTGAAGAATTCTCACCTGGCGCGTCATTACAAAATACGCATACATGGCCATGGCACTTCCGTAAGTGATGAAGTAGGTGACTGGCTCCATGATGTCCCAGGAATATTCCCACCAGGTGAGCCGGGCCAAAATGCCAAACTGTGTGGCCATGTAGGCAAGGCCACCCCATAGCACCAAAGTGGTCCTCTTCTCAGCTTTTCGGCTAATTTCGATTCGTACCTGATGGGCACACACACTTTAATTGTAAATTTTGCCATGGAACCAATTTAAAACTCTTATTTACTTAAACTGTCCACTAAAGAAACAGGGCTTATAGTAAGACATATGGTCACCTCAACTCTAGTAAATACTACTTTGTTTTCCTAAATAGTATTGGTATTTTTCACTGAATAAAATTATCGTACAGGAACAACTTTTTGTATTTTATTAAAGTTTCACCCTAGAAGTTGGTGGAAATATGGGGCTGCGTTTCAACAGCTTGTCATCCAACCACGAGATTCCCTTCTTTATGTTCTCTCACTGCTGTGCACAAGGCTGAATCTATTAGCAGTTTTAACTCAAACACTGTACGCAGCAGAATGAGTCAGAGCATGGGCGGTGGATCAGTAGTAGCGGAGTTGAGGGCCCTCATCAGCAAAACACCACCAACTTTAATTATTTTGAAGAAATCAGAAAATGTACAATATTCAAAGTATCTGTTCCCCTTCTTAATCCTTATAATCTAATTTCTTAAAATGAAAATACAGTCAAACACTGCATAATGATGAGTTGGGTATGATGGATTGCATATATGGTGGTGGGCCCATAAGACATTAATGGAACTGCCAAATTCCTATTACCTAGTGACAGCACCGCTGCTGTAACGCCATAGTACAACACATTCCTCACATGTCTGTGACGATGCTGGCATAAACAAACCCTCTGCACTGTCAGTCATGTGACATATACAATATACATATACAATCATTTACCATACATATACAATACATAACATATACAATCATTTACCATACATGATCCTTAATGATAATAAATGACATGTCATTGGTTTATGTATTTACCAGACTATACCTTTTCTTGTTATTTTACATTGTACACCTTCTATTTAATAATAAAAAAAAAAAAAGGTAACAGGTCAGAAGCAGTCTTGTTAATCTCCTACTTACCACATCACATGTCTGTCAAATCAAGTGACTGGCCTAAACCAGTGATGGTGGACCTTTTTTAGAGCCTAGTGCCAAAACTGCAACCCTAAGCCCATTTATTTATTCCAAAGTGCCAACAGTGCAATTAAACCTGAATACCGGGGCTGGGAATTTAGCTCAGCAGCACAGCGCCTGCCTGGCAAGTGCAAGGTCATGGGTTCGATTCCCGGTACCGGAAAACAAACAAACAAACAAACAAAAAAACAAAAACCCTGCATACTGAGGTTTTAGTTAGGGAAAGAAAAACTCATATGTTAACATCTCTGTCTTAAAAGAAAAACAAATAACACACTTGCCATAGGCTTGCCACCACACCACCTAGGCCATCTAGGTTTGTATGTTCTCTGATGCTCTCATAACAAAATCACCACACAGACACATTTTTTAGAATATAGACTGCAACTACATGAAGGATAACTGTACCTCACCATAGGTAGTCATATGAGGTATGCACATTATCATAAAAATTAAAAGTATCACTGGGAATATATAGTTTATAGTGGTAGAAAACTTGCTTAGCATGCATGAGGTCCTGGGTTTGATCTCCAGCAGTACCACAAAATTAAGGATGACATTTATTGCAAAATATTCAGAAAAGTGTAAAGAAGAAAAATTAATCATAATCCTGCTATAATATTAGCATTTTGGAATCTATTCCTTCTGATTTTTTTGTATGTATGTATAAATATAAAAATGTGGATAGCTATATGCATAACACATTTAAAATTTGGATGATAGTATGCAATTGCTTTAGAATTTAGTTTCCATAATATATAATGAATAGTTTCTACAGTAAATTAGATTTACATAAACATTTTAATAGCTACATAACATTGCATAGAATATTCTCTCTTAACCTTGTTTAAAAATCATTAGTTGGGCCGGGCGTGATGGCACACGCCTGTAATCCCAGCACTCAGGAGGCTGAGGCAGGAGGATCATTGCAAGTTCGAGACCATCCTGAGCTGCACAGTGAGCTCAAGGCCAGCCTGAACTGCATAGTGAGACCCTGTCTTGAAAAGACAACAAAAACAAAAAAGTAAAGATCATTAGCCACTATACTCAGAATCTTTCCTGATGAGCAATGATTCTAATCTCTGGTTCTAGAGACGGTAAATCTGGTTACAGGGAACATATTTAGGCCTCAGAACTCTAAGTCCATTATCTAGGTTTCAAATATTCCTTTTTTATGTCCTTTCTTAGCTTAGAAAGGAATTTTTTATGGCTGAGTCCTACATACTATTGTCCAAATTTGACTGACATGACCCAAACACGTAAGACTTAGGAGAAAAAACAGGAATGTGTGCTCGAGAAGAAACAAGGTAAAGAGAAGTCTGAGGGGTGTGTTTTCACCTTCTCCAGGGGAGCCAGCTGCTGTCTGAGGTCCTCTAATCTCTCGATGAGCTCCCTTTCCTTGTTTAACTGGTGCTGCTCGATGCACAGCGTAGTGTAGAGCTGCTGGACGAGAGTCTTCACGTCGTTCAGCGTGGCTGCATTTTCGTGACTTAAGAGGTCTGCAAGGAAGGGGTTATTTACTTTCTAAAAAGAGCAGGACTACTAGACAATGACAAGAATACGTGGTAGCTCCTGCTCCTCCACTACAGGAGTCCTATCTTTAGTGTTACACCGAAAGAGAGTAAGTTTTTTTTAAATTAATTGTCCAGAAATCTAGAACATAAACTCGTATTTGTGTAACACAACAAATTAGAAAGAAATACTCATCATTATATTCTTGGAAGTCTAAATGATATAGATGTGACAATGAATAAGGGAAATATTGAGAAAAATAATGCAAATAATACTCTTCAAGGCTGGGTATGTGTGGCTCAGCGGTAGAATGACTGCCTCACCTGTGTAGGCCCTGTGTTTGACCCCAGCACTAAAAAAATTATTAAAGACAGAAAGTTAACTCAAATGTGAAAAGTTGGTACAGAGGTTTAGAATCCATCTCATTATAATACTTACTAAGATTCTTTTTTTTTTTTTGGTATTGGGAATCGAACTCAGGACCTTGCACTCGCCAGACAGGTGCTGGGCAGCTGAGCTATATCCCCAGCCCCTTTATTAAATTTCTGATCTAAAATATATTTCCATTTCAATTGATATTTCTGTTTAGAAACTCCCAAAGAAGACATACACAGTATTTCAAATTTGCAAAGACAAAGCTGTAAATAAAAATAACAGCATCTTAAAAATCTTATCCCCCATGCATCTTCCCCTGAATATACCAACTTTTATTTACTCCTGGTGAAGAAAGACAGAGATTAGCTATATAGGCCACAATATCCTACTATAAAGGGCACAAAGTTACGGGAATGACTGAAATGATAAAAGATTAAATTCTTTGATTCAATATCCTCGATTGTGAATAGCATGTGCTTCCAGAAATCTAAAAATTATGTTTTGAGAATCTAATAAAAACTCAGCTGCTCTCAGCCATTTAAAAAAAAAAAAAAAAAGAGCACCAGTCATAATACTTTCATTTTAGAATTTTACTCGCTTAAAATGTGACATTTTGTTAGGTACAGCACAAGGTCAACCATCTATATGAAAATAAGCCACAGTCAAGACTTAACCATATATTTCAAATATTTAAGGATGTCCTACTGTACAGTTATCACAGAAATTCAATCAATGAAAATCTTCAAATAAGGGTAGCAAACTGGAGGAGAGGAGCTGACTTAGTAAAATGAGGTAGAGCATCTAGCACAGTATTTTGCAGGCTTCAGTAAATGTGTGCTGTGATGGGAACACAGAAAAGCAGGAACACTTTGAGTCACAGAAGTCATCTAGGTCAACAGTCTTCTTTGTACCGAAGTCACCAGAGAGGAGACTGTACCCTGAAAGGCCAAAGTAACTGGCCTGGAACACTGGCACGAGCTGGCAGAGGCCTCGTCTCCTGACTCACAGCCCAGAGCTGATTAGGATGCTTCTACGATACCAATCTTGGTATTTATCCTGCAAGCTCACTTCCCCTTTGAAAACGTAATTCCTGAAGTAGGAATAGCTCGTAAAACTCTCATAAATATTATCCCACGTTACTCTCAAGATAATCCATGAGTAAGCTTGCTGCTCAGAACTTATAAATGAGGAATTTGAATACCAGAAAGATAAGATTAAGGAACATTTTTTCCCTGGTATAGACCTACTCACCACAGGGGGGAAAAATCAAATGAACGATAGTTCCTCTCCCGATGAGGTCTAGCAACGATATTCACAAAGCTGCAGAGCTGGTGTGGAACGGGAAAGGATCTGGCAGGCTGTGCATGACTTACTTTTTCCATTTCAACTTTCAGTGCCGCGATGACACTGTATTTGCTCAGGAAGGAAGGGAGGGAGGAAAGAAGTAACCAAACTAAACAGAAGCTTCTCCCTTTCCAACTAAAGCATGGACAGGTTAAAAATATTCAAATATATATGGACAACCATAACTCGAGGATCTATAATTTCCAAAATCAGGCTTGGCATTCGTTTTACAAGAAAAGTAAGTTTCTATTCATTGGTGTTATTTATTTGTAGATTTTTAAATAAGTAATTATTTATCTTAAATTTATCATGTACATGCTGTTTTAAAATATGTCTAAACTATGAAATGGCTAAACAGAGATACATATATATATATATATTTATGTTACTACACATACTTTTTCGTGGTAAGAACATAAAAGCGTTCTTACCAATTTTGTTTTTGCTGTTAAAACAGGGTCTCCTATGTAGTTCAGGCTAACTTTGAACTCACTATGTAGCCGGCTGGCCTCAAACTAGTGGCAATCCTCTTGCCTCAGCCTGCCGAGTGCTGGGATTACAGGTGTGTGCCACCAAGCCCGACTTGTTTTTGTTTTTGAGACAGAATCTCGCCAAGCAGTTCAGGCTGGCCTAGAACTCGTGAGGCCTCCTGCCTCAGCCTTCCAAGTGCTGGTATTATAGATGTATGTCACCATGCCAAGCTCTTAGCAGTTTTCAAGAATATAATACACTGCTGTTCACATCGTTACCATGTTGTACAACAAATCTCTTGAAGTTGTTCTTCCTAAAGGAAATGCTGCATCCTTTCACATTAACAGGTTCAGAGCTCCCACATGTTGCTAATTAAATTTAAAATAATGAAAAATTCAGTTCCTTAGTCATACTATCCACATTTTAAGTGCTCTGGAGCCACATGTGACCAATGGCCATGCGTACAGTGTACAGGGCAGAAACAGCATTTTCAGCATCACACTAAGCGCTATGTAACAGTGCTGAAGAACTTATTTCTCAGCTAGGACTCCATTACTGTCCTACCCTAAAAACTAGATGTGCTTGGATTCCCACGTTTCCTGGCAAGCTTTTGATTTGTCTGCCTGTGCTGCGGCTTCAACATTACTGATCTTCCACTGATCTTCCAAGCTCCCCTGTTCAGATTCTCAATTCTTTATTTTCATCTACAATTACACAAGGTCTGGTTCCCATAATAAATGTTTCCCTAACTGTGCCCCGACTGACACAAAAAAATATGTATAGTATGTTACTATTTGCATAAGAGAAAAAATATATATTCATATTTGCTTATGAATGCACAGATTGTCCCGGCAGGAGACATAAGACGTGAAAAGAAGTGCTTGCTGACGGAGAAGGAAAAGGAGAGCTGAGGAGTAGGGGATAAGAATAAGACTTCCCAAAATTCTTTTAGATTTTAGGAGTGGACCTTATACTACCTATTCTAAACAAGTGAAATTTTTTTTGAGACAGGGTCTTGCTCTGTAGTTCAGGCTGGTCTTGCGCTCACTTTGTAGCCCAGGCTGGTCTTGAACTCGCAACGATCTTCCTTCCTCAGCCTCCCGAGTGCTGGGATTATAGGTGTGCGCTACCACGCCCGGCAAGTGAAAAAATCAATGTGCAACCATAATACCTTCTAACAGCAATGAAAAAAACCTAGAAAATAAAAAAGGTCCACAGCAGGTCTCACAGACATCTACTGTTAACCTGGCTAAATGTAAACAGCTGTTATCTTTCTGATTCTGCACTGATAAAGCCCTGGGAGACTCACAAGTCTAAGCTCTATTTTGCTAGGTGTTCCTGACAGGAAGAAGATGGTTCCAAGGCACTGTTGTGGTGGAGGAATGCAATAATCCTGAACTCTTGGCCCTGAAAACTCTGCTCATCATTTGAGAGATGAAGTTATAGGAAAAAGGCAAATAATTCTGCTAATGGCTTAACACTAGCACTTTGGGATAAGATATCATGAGTACACTTTGGGATAATTATACATTAGTAGTATATGCTTCTCTAAAAAATACTTAAGACATTTATTAATGTTTCTGTACATGCCATCAGTTCCAGGATAATTAAGGTATAGAAAGACAGGAGACATACTAATGTAGTGGGTATTGAAAATTCTTCTCAGCAGCAAACATGGTGTGGGAAGGATTTTGGCTCTTTGGGGTTCTAGCAAGGTGATCATTATAGTTGGTGTTTGGTTTGCCTGTTCAACCTCTCCTCTCAATTTATATTACTAAGAAGGAAGCAAGGTCTTCAACATTCTCTGGATGGATAAGCAAGGAATAGGGCTATGGTGGTGCGAACCAAAACGATTTTTCCCAGCAGAAAAAGGTATTCCCCAGCGACAAGGTGAATATATTCTCTTCCTTTCTGAGAATAGCAGTGGTAGTTAATTACTATTTCAACATGCACTGGGATAAAAAGGCGTTTGTGCTTCCTACATTCCTCCCTCCATTCTGGATTTAGATTTATTATGAAGTCATCAAATTGAGAAAAGTTACTCCTCTTCTTCTACAGCTAGTGGTCAGACAAGAATCCAGCCACAGGCAGCTATGATTATTAAAAGAATGCGATGGAGTTTGCAGCTACCCTTAGTCTTCTGACATGTTTCCTTGTTCCAACTTTGGATACTTGTTCCCTTGTTCTAAATTCTGGTTTAGGTACAGGGCTGTCAACGCTTAAGAATCCACAACACCTACAGACTGCTGACGCCATATAAACACAGAACGCGGCTATCCGGTACTCCGTATGAATAAGCCCTCTATCTTCAGGGCCTGCTGTAAGTGTGTGAAGTTACAGCTCACACAACACTCATAAGGTATTTTTAGCTCCAAAGTTCCATAGACAGGGTAAAGAAATAAGAGAAGTAAGCATTAAAAGAAGGTAACGAATGAACAAGAAAAAAAAAGTTGTGCTAAAACTTAAAACTGCCCAGGAAAAGGCACGAATTACTTTAGCTCTCATTAGACACAGCAGGTGGGCTCATCTGACCCCTGTGTATATAGAACCTTGGTACTGCTCTTTATTACCTGAAACCCAACGCCTTCTATGCTGCCTTCTTCCTTTCTTCCCTCACAGCCTTCTCTCCAATGAGTTCCCATGCAGGGAAGCGGAATCTGCTTGCTCGTTAGAATGGACCAATCCCTCTCACACACAGAAATTCACACTGCTCTCCTATGATACTCAGTCAAACAAGTGTGGCTGCCTTGGATGCCAGCAACACCTTCCTCAACCAAGGACAGGAAGGTAATACGTTGCAAACAAAATTTAAATGTATTTTATATTTTTTTAAAAAAAGATTCTCTTTTATTTAAAAATCAGAGAAAACAAAGTGTACACTTAATATTATTTCAGTGTCTGAAAGATGGTATCCAGAGGCATAATCTCTTGTTGACTGATAACAAAACTAAGAGTACTTTGATGTGTAAATTTAAATACCGAAGTCTTTAAAAATTCTACATGAGTAATGCTACTGAGTTTACCAAATTTTATTCTTCATAGGCTTTTGACCTTTGTAAACTTCACATCCTAATCCACCTTTAGAGAAGCTGGGAATGTATTGCACAGTTCTAAAATACAGATAGAGCAAAGAATTGTTAGACTGTCAAATCACCAAGGAATCCAATTTCTCCCATTTTCAGTATCTACCTTACCTTTCTTTATTTAGCTTGGGAATGCCCTTATTTTAAAAACTTAAACATTTATTTGTTTCTAAAACACAGCATTAGACAAATGGTTCTTATTAGCCACTGCTAAAAATAGCTTTAGGTTTTGACATCATGCTTTATGGGAGCTCATGTCTGAACATTCCTAATTGCTTACACTTTAGGTAGGAGCCGCAAAGTTTAGAATGTTATCAATACAACAGGAAATCTAAATAGAATGAATTCTAGGTAATTCACACAAACACACAAACTGAGTAAGTAAGACCATACTTCCGTTATTTTAGAGAATTTATTGCCCAAGTATCGGAGAATAAAGAAAAACATCAGCACCACTGATACACAGCTAACATGTTTTGCATGTTCAGTTATTCCAATTTAATATAATCCAATACCATAAAGTCTTACTATTTAAAGGACACTTTCTGTTCTTTTCCCCAGCTAGTTCCCGCTCAACATGTCTGAATTAACATGATCTGTGAACAACCAACATGCTACCCAGTTAACTTGTTTAGTCCATTCAAAGTCTCAATGTAGTATGACCACCTGGGTCAGTAGAGAATATAAAGTCACAGTGCCTTCTCTCAGGGCATTTTCTAACAAAGAATAAGCAAAATTCTGAGAAAAGATCCATCACTTCTGGCTGGCTGGGAGTCAAAGAAAGAAAGAACAGGGTCATTCAAACCACCACGGAAGAGCTGACACTGACATTAGCACATGAGAAATCAGAGGGCAAGGGGGTGGGAGGGAAAAAGGCATCTTAGGGAGAGGAAAGGTGAGCAAACTCTGAAATGGCCCAGAACAGAGCGTGGTTATGAAAACAGCCAAGGAATATGTGGTGAAAGAAAGGCAGAAAACATAAAAAAGGGAAAGAGAAAATTTATAAGGTAGATATGGGCCAGATTATAGAGGCATTTAAAACCTAGGCCTGCAGGGGAGATGTCCTAGGAAGCTGACGAGGGAGCTGTTAGTGGAAGGGGCCTTAACAGCAGCAGTAAGTCACAATGAACATCAAGAGCAAAGACAGAAAACCGATCCAAAAAGACCCAACTCAAAATGCTACTTTAGAGGCTTTTTAGCATTCATATTGTGTACCATATTGAGCTTAGGATGGAAAGAAAAATTTTAGTATTTTACTGATCAGGGATTTTTCTTACACTAACTTTGTTTTTATTTTTATAAAACAGTACATTAAATTGTGTATGCCCACAGTTCTAGCTACTCAGAAGGCTGAGGCAAGAGGATTACTTAAGCCCAGCCCTGGGCAACAGAGAGACACTGCCTCAAAAAAAAAAAAAAAAAAAAGAAAAAAGAAAAAAAAGCAGTAGTAAATTGATTATTGAGTTCTTTGGCTCTAAAAATGTGCACCTCAGGCAAGCACTTCATTTTCTTCCTTAGGATTGTTATTGTACAGAGGGTCCCCAACTTAGAATTTTCAACTGTACAATGGTGTGAAAGCAACACACAACCAGTAGAAAGCACACTCTGAATCTGACCCTTCCCCAGAATACTGAGATACAGGGTGATAGATACACTCTTTGTCGTGCTGGCAGTGGCAATGAACTGCAGCTCACAGTCAGATACGTGGCTGTGAGGATAAACAACCAATAAATACCCTACAGCGTGCTGCAGTGCTGGTTCTCAGATACTGTCTTAGTGTTTTTGCATCGCGTCATGTCTAGCAAATGCCCATTTGTGCCCACACATGAGATAGTCAACACTTTCTTAGAAAATAGGCTTTGAAAATAGGCTTTGTAGTAAATGACTTTGCCCAATTTAAAGCTGCTATATTGTGTTCTGGGCATGTTTAAGGTAGACTAAGCTAAGATGTAATGTTTGGTAGGTTAGATGAATTAAATGCACTTTTAACTTACACTATTTTCAATTTATCATGGGTTTGTTAACCCCAATGTTAGCCAAGGAGCATCTGTATAATACCGACGTTCACACTGCTGAACTTGGGCCGTCAGGAAAAGAAAAGTAAGACCAGCTGGTGCCTGATGGACTGTAACCATGAAGATCAACCCGTTCGTGACCTTGGACCGCAGCAAGAACCGCAAACGCCACTTCAATGCCCCCTCGCACGTGCACTGGAAGATCATGTCCTCCCCTCTTTTCAAGGAGCTGCAGCAGGACAATGTCCGCTCCATGCCCATCCTCAAGGACATTGAAGTCCAGGTGGTTGGTTCAAGGGCACTACAAAGGTCAGCAAATCAGCAAGGTAGTTCAGATGTACAGAAAGAAATACGTCATCTACTTCGAGCAGGCGCAGTGTGAGAAGGCTAATGGCACGAGCATCCATGTGGGCATCACCCAAGCAAGGTGGTTATCACCAGGCTAAAACTGGACAAAGGCAGAAAAAAAACTCTTGAATGCAAAGCAAAGTCTGGACAAGTTGGAAAAGAGAAAAGCAAATACAAGGAAGAGCTCATTGAGAAAACTGGCAACTGAACATAACCTGTCCTGCAGTTTCGGTTTAACTGGAGATGTCCATCCTAGGCTGTGCTTCTCTGGAACTTTTCAAGACGTCTCTGGAATGTTTTATCACCTTCCTGTTTTGTTATTGATATCTGGCTCTGTAAATCTACTTTTGCAATTCTGATTAATAACTTTATGAATAAAATTGGAGCTATTTCTCAATTCCCCCCGCAAACAAAGAAACTAAATTAAAACCTTTTACAATGTTTAAGAGGGAAGCTCATTATTTATTTTTAAAAGATTTATCTTACGTCACTATCATTATTGCTTGTGGTGCTGTGAATCAGTCCCAGGGCCTTTCACATACTAGGCAGTGTTCCTCCACTGAGCTACATCCCGTTCATCTTGCATTACTGTAGCTATTATTTGCGGTGCTGGGATCAAACCTAGGATCTTGCACATGCTAGGCAAACACTCTACCACTGAAGTACATCCCTAGATCTCCTGTATTATTTTAATATTATAAAAATAATATGAATTTTAGCCTGTATGGAATGAAGAGGAAGGTAAGCAGACACTTATTTATATGAAGCAGAGTAGATGCCAGATGATAAGGCATTTCGGCATCTATAGACTCTCAATGGCCTAGCCAAGTGCCATGTATTAAATGAGTTCTTCAAATGAAACAGAATCTATTTGTAGGTAAAACTTTCCATACTTTTTGAATATTGTCTGTTTCTCAGAGTTACCCAGGGAAAAGTAACATTCCTCCCAAAAGCCTGTTTTACATTTTTGTGAACTCAAGGCTCCTTCTTTACCTCTCTTTGGTGGCCGTACATGATACGTTAAGTCATTAATGACCAACTTGAAGTCGTCGAGGAGGAGGAGGTCTATCCCTGTTGAGGCAGCAACTCGAACGCCATCTGTGAAAATTTTAAGTAAAACCTGTCATATGTCCATAACTATTCAAGAATAGTCAGGAGAAAGTAGTCCTTAACATAGATTTTCTAAAATAATCCCTTCTCCTTTGAATTTCAGTTAACTTTTTGCTTCATCCCCCAGTTTTATGCGGAACAAAGTTTAGATTATCTGAAGCTCTTTATTTTTAAAAAAGCCTCAAGTCTGAAGATTCATCAAAATGTGTTTCCTGCAACTGTGTGAACAAGTGAAATAAATACTGCTCATAGATGCATAGACTCAAGAATTGTTTGTGATAGAAGCTGGCTGAGCTTAAAATAACAAAACAAAACAAGTGTTTTCTAACAAGTTTCCAGGTTAATCATCGGTTAACTCTCAATTCAGTAGGGATGGACGCTAGGGTGAGTAAAGTACACCAAGCTTGTGTACTAAGTGTATTTCTGGGTGAGTTTGAAATATCTAAAGAACAGAAATATATACTTAAAAGCCCAAAAATGTGGCAAACGTTGCCAACTGGTGACTCCAGGTGAAGGGTAATAGGTACATAGTATACTAGTCTTTCAAGTTTCCTGGAGGCTTGAATTTTTCAAAGTAAAAATGGAAAAAACAGAACAAAACAACTTAAGGCACTTAAAAAAATAAACAGATGTCACATCAAGTGGGAATTTTCAGTGCCTTATTTTATATTCTTTTCGTATTATATACTCTATTTTGGTAATCATTTTTAGGTGAAAAACCTAAGATCTACAAAGAAGTTCCCATATCTCTAGAGATAATGGCTTAGCTACTGGAAAAAAATTTCTATGTAAAAGGTAGTGATAAAAGGTCTCAATAATATAGAATGTGACTGATTGCTTATCCTTGCCCATGGCATTACATGTGAGTAGCTTTTGAATGAGACTCCCTATGCACATACATTTGCTAAAACTTAACAATTATATCCTGAGAACCACTGGGAGAGAAATCACTTTCCTCTGGGAACTTGCTAGGCAAAAAAATATTTTCTGAAGTTAACAGCATGATATTCTTTTGCAGTAACCTGTGTGTGTGTGTGTTACAGTGTATGTGCATGTGTGTGTCTGTCTAGAAATAGTTTGTGAGAAATGAGAGGTAGGTGAGAATTAAAAACAAAGATGATTATACCTGGTGAATAGATTGCAACTCGATCAATTCCCCGATCCTCTTCTTGCAGCTGTCGTAAAAACACACCAACAGAGTCGGAGATAGGTTTGAGCGTGAACTGGCAGCGTTCACGCCGGGATGGTAGTCTCACAGATATCACAGGCAACCCATTTTGATAAACCACTGTCACATCTGAATGAGAAAGATCCATAAACACGTGATAATTAGATTTTATTGGAAGTTAAAGCCATGGTATTACTATGTATTCTTACCTGGAGGTCTATTATTATTATTAGTGTGGTTTAAAATGTTTTCAAAGAAGGCTTTAAAATGCGCTTTTGCTTTAGTTGGAGGTTATTCTAGGAGCTGGCTTAGGGAAGATCAAACATATGAAAATAATTCATTTTTCTGATATGAAAAACTGGGTAAGAAATTGTTCTGACTCGAAGGAGGAGAGGCTTTCCCAGGGTACAGCGCAGCGTTCCTGGTACTGCGATTGGTTCCGTTTGGCAAGAGTTGACTGAGGAGCCTCAGACCGCTGGCCCAGATGCCACAGCCCGCAGAGGGGTCTCTTGGAAAGCAGAGCTTTTGAAAATGTCTAGGAAACAGCATCTTCCAGTACACTAGTGAAACTCTTACTCCAGGACAATCAACTCATTTTTGTAGTACAATATTATATCCAATTTACCTGATAATTAAATGTTCCATTATACAATTTGGACACACTATGATAGGATTAAAACCAATTGCTTTCATATTTTCTTAAGTACCTTTTCGAGATTAGCTAAAAGTCAAATCTCAACTTTCACGATTTTATGACAAAAATTCAGATTCCTTGAAGACTTTTTCTTCATAGTTCCTTTCTCTCTTTGTCCCACACATTTTGGCAGGGCTACTGTTCACAAAATAGTCTATTTCTGTCTCTCCCTTTTTTTGTGCTGGAGCTTGTAAGCTACCCCTGAGGGCAAGCTGAGGCAAGGCAGGGGTCAACTCCTGTGTTTCTCTTTTCTTTTTCTCTTTTCTTCTGGATCACAGCAATGTGCTGCCTATGGTCCAATGCCTGAAAATGGTTATTTCAAATATTTTGTCCGTGTTCTAGTTGTTTATAGCAGGACAGAAATTCCCAGAGCAATTAATACTTAATGAATACATGATCTAAATCTTTATATAAAAATTAAAAGACATCCAAAATCCAAAATCTCTATTGCCTTCTTCCTTTCAAAGGCATAGTCTACGCTTCCTAAAAAAGAACAACTCAAAATAACATGAACTAACCCATAGTGTGTACTATCTAAAATTTGTAACATTTAAACATATTTGAAAAATTTGTCACTTTTTTTTTCCTAAGAGAATCCTTAGCAATCAATCCAATGTTCAGAGCCTCTGGTATGTGGCTATTTCTGTCTCTTCCGTAGGCTGTTTGACTGGGTCATACATTTAGATGATTAACATTTAGATGATGGTATTTTTACTCCAATAATGAGCTTTCTATATGCAACAAAGATAAACGCAGATCTCAAGAAACAGACAAAAATGAATTTAAATAAAAGATAGGAATCTTTGATTATTAAATGCCTAACATTTGGAAGATTTCACTAAAGCATCAGTTTCACAGGTAAGTGCCTTGGGGTTATAACTTGAAAATAACTGAACAAAGTCAACAGAGAAAATGAAGGTCTTGTGCAACCAATTTAACTTCTTCCTTTAAGAAACATGAAACCTTTCAAAGGAATGAAATATGAGAGCTTGGAGCAACTCTGCATGGAATAACATTCTTCTGAGCTGACAAATCTTTAGTATAATACTTCTCTGAAATAAACCTGCAGGTCTCCTTCTTTCCCACACACTAGATTGTAATATAAATGCCATGTTTCTTGCTTTGCAACCAAAGAAAAACAATTGCCAAAATTCCTCAAATTTAACAGTATATAAAATAAATGGTTGGTTAAAGTGACTGGTTACAACAGACATTTATACTAATGACCATTGTCAGCTACTATTCTCTATTCTTTAAATTGTATTAAGTGCCTTTTTTTTTTGGTTGCACTTTTTGATCTTTTGCTTTTATGCCTTTATCAATAAAATAAGAAATAAACTTAATATGTTTATCAACAGTGTGCTTCAAAGGGACTTAGGTGCATAGGGCGTCTGACGTGAATGCTTGGGGCAGAATGTGACAAGTGGATTTAGCATCAAAACGAAACGTCACAGAATTGTAGACTAAGAAGAATAGCTGCAGAAACTACAAACATTTGGGATTAAAGAATTTATTTTTTTAAAATTCCTTTGAGGCACCCGTAGAAGAACACCGCTGTCAGCGGAGTCCAGCCCGCAGGGCCGGAGCGCACGCCCACGCTCAGTGCCCGGGAGTGGCCTTGATGTGCGGCAGGATGCCCCTTCTCACTCTGTCCAGGCAAGTCTTTAGTAAAAGATGAAAGCGTTATATGATCTGAAGAGACACCAGAGCACACCTCCTTATTCTGGTGTGATCTGAGTGAAATGGAGTGGACTTTGGGATCCAGACCCCAGAACCAAGAATAATTTATGTAAAATAAGAACTATTCCTTAGAAATCTGGAAGAGGCATGGCGAAGAAAACCATAGAGAAATGTCCTGGACGGATGGATTGGCGTGGCGTGCTCAGCCGGAGTGGTGTAGGAGCACACACTGAGACAGACCCCACGCTGAGTAGGTGGACCAAAAACTTAACTAAAGCCAAGGTCACATCACAGGGAGACACATGCTAACTGAAGCGCTCTCCACAGGAGCGACAGAGTTTTCGGCCCTAACTGATCTATAAGCCTCAACATAAAAGCACTAGAAATATAGGAAAACAAGGCATTGAGAGGCCTCTAAAAACTCCCTGGAAGTTATTCTCATTGGCATGGAAGGGAAGGAATTTCAGACCAAAACAAAACGAGCAGTTAAATGTCTGAAGAGATCAAAGAAGACACAAAGAGATTCACGAAGAAATTACTATGATGTTCAATGAACTAAAGAGAACAATAAGAAGATAAAGGGTTCAATAATAAGCTGATTAACGAGCTTAAAGATAATATTAATAAACAGCTAAGTGATTCAAGGAGGGAATGCAGGATATGAATGGCCACTTTAATGCGGTAATGAGAATTACCGCTCATAAAAACAAACCCAGCAGAAACCCTGGAAATAAAAACGCAACGGAGAGTCACACCAGCAGATGTGATCAAGCGGAGGAGAGAATATTAGAAGTTAAGGGTGAGAATGAGGTAACACCCACTCAGTGATACTCTGAAACTACAAGAAACCACAAGAGGTTGGCTCAGTAGTTCCGAGAGGACTCTAAAAGAAGAAACCTAGAAGTTGTCAGTGTCAAGAAAGGGCTGGAGAAGGAAACTAGAGGCATAAAAAAATGTATTCATTGACATCATCACAGAAAACATTCCAAATATAGGGATTGAAATGGATCTGCAGCAAAAACAGGCACAGCCAGAAAAGGACCTCCCCATATCAAAATCCTAGAAATCAGAACAGGGAGGACATAAAAGCCATTAGAGGAAAACATTCAGTAACTTATAAAAGCAGGCCTACCAGAATAACGGCACATTTTTCAATATAAACCTTAAAGACAAGAAAGCTTAGAGTTGTTTCCCAAGGCCTAAAAGAAAATAATTGCCAATATATAGCAATTCCATGATTGCTATAATCTACAAAATTATCCTTCAAAATTAATGAAGAAATAAAAACTTTCCCTGACAAAGAGAATCTGAAGAAATTCATGCCCACCAAACCAGCACTGATAAAAATACTCACTAAACAGAGAGTGAAGGCAAAGAGCCTGAAGGAAGGAATACATTAAAGTAGGAGAGTCCTTAAACAACAGGAAAAAACCCAGAAGAATCAGCACTGGAAAAATAAGGATTCGGGTAAGACCCTACAACAGTAACTCCCTATGTCAATGGTCTAAGTCCCCAATCAAAAGACAAAGACTGTCAGATCTGATCAAAAAACAAACTACAGCTATACATTTTCTGCAAAAAACCACATCTTAAGCACAAAGAAAAACAATGACTGAAAGGATAAAAAAGTATACTGTATGCAATACAACTGGAGCCCCAAAGCAAGCAAGAGTAGCCACCCTAATTTCAGACAAAGTGGATTTCCAGCCAAGACTGATCAGAAGAGACCCAGAAGGTCACTACTGGTAAAGGGAGCAAAGAGATAAATGTGAATATACACTGAATATGTGTACCCAATTTCATAAAACAAAAGCTATTTGATACAAAAGGATGCCACCAGTACACCAGTAGACACCAGTACCATCAAAGTAAGGGATTTCAATATGCCACTCTCACAAACAGGTCAACCAGACCAAAAAAAGCAAGAAAGAAATATTGGATTTGAACATCACTGAACAAATGGACTTAACAGACATTTACACTGTTTCACCCAACAAGAGTATAATATACACTTTTTTTCAGCAGCACATGGAAGTTTCTCTAAAACAGACCACATCTTAGGCCATAAAATCTGTTCAAATAAATACAAAAGAATTAAAATAATCTCTTGACACGCCTGTAATCCCAGCACTCGGGAGGCTGAGGCAGGAGGATCGTTTCGAGTTTGAGACCAGCCTGGGCTACAAAGTGAGCTCAAGGCCAGCCTGAACTGCATAGCGAGACCCTGTCTCAAAAAGACCAAAAAATAAAAAAATAAAATAATCTCTTGAATGCTACTGGAATATAGCTGAATGAAGCTAGAAATCAACAGTAAAAGAAACCACAGAAACTATGCAAACAGGTGCAGATTAAATAATGAATTCTTACATAATCAATTGATCATAAAAGGAATTAGGGAAGTAGCTAAAACATTCCTAGAATCAAATGACAATGACAGAACAACAAACTAAAACCAAGGTAACACAATGAAAGCAGTTCTAAGAGGGAAGTATATAGCTGTAAATGCCTAAATTACAAAAACAGAACAATCCTAAATAAAAACCTAATGATGCATCTGAAGGTCCTAGAAAAAGAAGGGCATCCAAATCCAAAACTTGCAAAAGTACAGAAATTACAAAGATCAGAGTGGAAATCAATAGAATTGAGGACTAAAAAATTACAAAGGATCAATGAATCAGAGTTAGTTCTTTGAAAGGGTAAAAAAGATTGATAAACCCTTAGCCAAACTTACCAAAAGAAGGAAAGGAAGGACTCA